GAACTTTTATGCATGAAGTAGACCGTTTTCATTCTGACTTCAGAACTGCTTGTCCTTTGTTATGCTCGAATGAGTTTTCGTCACGTGACATCATTTTGCATACTAAATGATATGTAAAGACATTTCTAGTTCCGCTATTTTTAACAAACTGGCTACTGGAACAATACACCAAAATCTAAAATCTAAGGCGATAAAATTGTGCGATTTCAAAATGGATCTAATAAAGTGGCAATTGAACTTTGTGTCATGCAATTTTGGTCTGAAATCATACTTGTGATTTCAGAACAAATTGCACTCCACTCAGTTCAATTATCATTATTTATTAACCACATGGACTAACTGTGCTAATAAGTAATGTTACTTACAAAGAATAACTGGGAGGTGCAATGGTCTCCTAGTTAATGCTCTTGACTCCATATCGAGTGGTCTGGGTTTTACAAGCCCTGGTTGGGGACTTCATGTGTTGTGTTCTTGTGCAAGACATGCCTTTACTCTCACAGCACCTCACTCCACCCACCTGCCTCTTTTACGTCAAAGAATAACCACATATTTCTTCTGGTGAGAAAGCCCCCCTACTGTTGTATTTTAGATTTGTTCGATGTTACTTTTCGTTCTTCATTCTTCAAACATGTTAAAAAGAACAACTTGTGGAAGTTTTTCACAAATATTGCAAGGGAGGGAAGAGGTCCCAAGAAGAAGATGGTTTATTCTGTAGGTCAGATTTAATGTTGGTTCTCCATGTAGTCTCGTAAAATAAAGGACTTATTTCTTGTTTTAGATTACAATTGGTGTTCATTCTGGTGAGGTTGTGGCTGGTGTTGTGGGTCAGAAGAAGCCACGCTACTGTCTGTTTGGAAACACAGTCAATCTGACAAGTCGCACAGAAACTACTGGGCTGCGGGGAAAGATCAATGTTACAGAGTTTGCCTACAGGTGATCGATATTATTATATCAAGATTTGCTCTGCTTTCTATTCACTGTGTAACAAACAAACAAACAATCTAGCAAAAATAACTATCCATAACATGACCAAACAACATGTGATATGATGTGATCTTTTTTTTTTATGTTGTCTCTTGGAGTGAAAGGGGTAAATGGGGAGGGGAAAGGGGAGGTTAAAAATGAGTTTGAGAGGGGGAAGAGTGTGTTCCTCCTTCCATCCCTGCCCCTACCCCCAACATCCCCCTCTTCCTCCATCTCCACTCCTCCTCTCCCTCTCCCCCATTTTACACCTGCTATGCAGGCTAATGGGCCAAGAGAAAAAAACATACCAACTTTTTATAACTTTTTTTTTTTGCATTTTGCATCTTTGTCAGTAGCATCTTTCTCAATTTGCAGATCACTGCTGTGCCAACCACATGATGATTTTGTGTTCAAAAAGCGAGGTCCAGTCACCATGAAGGGAAAACCAGAGCCGATGATAACATACATACTACAAAGAAAGGAAGGAGAGTGAGACTGTCACTATAGAAAATTAAAGGTGTTATGCCAGCATCCAAGAGGTCTTACAGTTAAACCATTTGATTTCTGTTGAAAGAGATCATTTGTCTAATTTGCACAAGGTTGTGATCTTATGTTCCTCTGCTAATTAGATGCTCACGTTTTCAGGTGAAGGGAGTTACTAACTAAACAAACTGATCTCAAGAATTATGGATATTGTGATTTTTCTGATTTTTAAAAGGAAAACCCAAAATAATATTTTCGTAAGGTTGAAAAACACCAAAGAATTAATAACAAACTGAAAGTTAACAAGGCTGGTCAAGATTGAGAAAGATTGCGACAGATTGCAAAAAAAAAAAAGAAAGAAAGAAAAGAAAAAATGAGACCTCAATACAGTAAAAAAAATGCTTTATAGCCCTGAAATGAATTTTTTAGAGGTCAAGTGTGAGTATGTGGTAGTTACAATATGTAATAAGGAAAGGAGAAGTAACTATAGAAATGGTTAGACTTATATCAGAGCTGTTCAGTTTATTCAGATGTGTTTAACCAGCGCATAACCTGCAAATGCAGGCGGTTTTCCGCGGCCAAGCTGCCAAGCACGTGTTTTTCACTTTTCAGTAGGAATCCAGTCCCCAAGATATAAACGAGCACCCAGCTTTCGTGGGAGAAGTTGCTAAGCAACACAACGTAATGCCTCTGATGTCACAATTACGTGCAACGTTTAGAGTATTCGCGGAGTGAATAATATTGGTCTCTTTTGAGTTCTTCCAGGAAGTCTTGATACAAATAACAGCTTTTTACCCCCTGGGTAATTTGTACATTTTACTGCCTACTGTACATATTATAACCTAAAGTACTATATAAAAGTGACCCACATTCAGAAATAGAGAAGAAATCCAAACAAAGACCCTGCTTGTAAAAGGCGGTATACATTAGTGTTTAAAGAAAAGTAGTAAAGTACACGATGTATCCGTGATCCATGTAAGTCCAGATTGAGCAATTTCTGTGCAAAGTTTCAACCCAGGAACTGCTTCAGTTTTACCTGTTTTCATTAGCAATTTTGGTGCCTAAATTCACTTTTTTACCACAATTATCAAGAACGATATGTGGCGTATCCTTAAAAGGCTTTGTCTAACTTAAATTTGGTGATCACATGTGGGCAAGTGACAAAGGCCCACCAGGCCTATTCTAAATATAGTTCAGTTTAATCTTGGTTGTCTTTTTGGTATTAGTGTACATGTGTACTCTCCTAGTCATGCGCTCTGGGAAGTCGCCCTTTGAGCGAAATGAAGGACTTAATGTATTTACGATATATATTAGTAACTGCACAGATTGAGCAGTACAGACAATAGTGTGATAAGTGAGTTATAAAACGTTTATGAACCAAGCATGACCAAGAATTAGAAGATAGAAAATATGTTACACGTTTTGTGATTGGTCAAAAGCTGCAGCTATTATTCCAGTAATCTCCTGGAACTTATAAGTAGCTATATCATATAAGCGCTGCATTAGTTCAGCAGCGTAAATTAAAGAAGTCGCGTGAAATGTTGACAAAACGCTCACTTAAAAGAGCCTTAGCCCGCAGGCGTCTCCACCGCCATCTTGGATTCAAGAAACAAGGTACTCCCAAGATGACGAACAGCTACCGCGCTAACTAGATTATTCCAGCAAGATCTCTCGCACTTTATTTTGGAAAAAAATTCGTGTAAATTAAATTTTTCGGCTTGTGATGTGATATACAAAATGTTTTTTTATGTTTTGCCAACATCTCCCGTGGTTTTTAAAATGTCCTTAGTCCAACTTTTATCTAAACTTTTACCGGTTGTAAAATGACCGCTTAGAAGTGAGAGACGGTTGTAGATATGAAGATAAGAGCGGTCTCTTTTGAAAGAGATAGTTATTAAACTATATAAAGCATTCAGTGTGACGGGCTTCATTGTCGTGGATTCAAGGATTGCGAGAAGCATATCAGTTGTAGTTGGCCATGTATATTCCTGGGAACTTCGACAAGTACATCTCGATGCGGCGTCGACAAAACCTGGATCGGATCGGACCGGATCACGGATCGGATCACGGACCGGATCACGGATCGGATCACGGATCGGATCACGGATCGGATC